CTAAAGAATACACCAGGAACAGTTGTCAAACTTCAACAGGCATCAGAATCACCTGGAGGGCTTGTCATACACACGCTTCTGAGCTCCACCATCAGTTTCTGACTCTGTCCCAAAATTTACATTTCTCACAAGTTCCCAGATGAGGCTGAGGCCACTTCTCTAGGGACCACACTTTGAGAACCTCGGTCTTGACAAGAGCTATTCAAGAGTCTCAGGGCTGGGGTTGTGTCTCAGCTCTCAGAATGTGGCCCTGTAAACTTAAAGACAGAGATGAGGCAAGCTATTTCAGAAATGATGTTAAAAATTAATAGAAAATATAACAACACATATAAATTATTTACACACACAAACACACACACACACACACACACACACACACACACACATACCCACACATATACACACATACATATACTTTCTGATCAATTAGAAAAGACAAAAATCTAGCATCAAGACTGGTTTGGAACAAATGTCTTCTGAGTTAATAATAAAAAAGGATTCCCAAAAATGACTGTGGTCATCTAAACTAAGAATGAAATTATAAGGGTTATGAGATAAGCAGAGTCAAAAATGACTGAATAAACAAAATTACTAAATCTGCAAAAGAAAGTATATTATTAAGTCTATGAAAGTAGGTTTTTAAGTCAATGAAATTGTGAAAAGAGCTATACAAAATGAACAAATTTCATATTTACACGGTTATGTAGCTGGTTTAACTACTGGACCCTAAGTCATGTGGGGGCCATTCTTTCATATTTAATCAGAAAACCTGGTCCCCAACCAGTCTTGAGGCTGGACTGTCACTCTAAACCACCTCTGGAAAAAGTCTCGCAGGGGTTCCACAAAGCCAGCAGTGCACAGAGGAGCACACGCTGGGCCCCCCCTCTGCAAGAGGCACATTTCCAGGCACATTCCCAGCATCCAGGAGAAAGAGGGTGCTGATGCTGCTGTAACCACTGTGCTTCTCTCATGGGGACGGCTCCTAACYCTGCAACAGTACATTAGACACGAAACTCCCAACAGATCCGAAAATCTGCAGTTGCCTCCACCTCCCTGCTATTTGTGGCACATCCCAAATTCACAGCGATGCATTCCACACAGCATCTCCTCAGGACCATCGCTCATACTGTATCACACTGTCTCCACCCTTCAGGCTCCATTTTCAAAGCCATTTCCACTTGTGGTTCTTGCTGCGCTACCTCCAGTATCCACTATCATTTCCTCCAAGACAGTAACAGGCCTGACATTAGAGCCTGTCATTATCCAAGCTGCAACTATGGGCACCTCTGCTGCCCCCTCTCTCCCTGTTCCCCCCCTCCTTCCCTCCCTCCCTCCCTCCCTCCTTCCTTCCTTCCTTCCTTTCATCGGAGGATGAAAATCAGGGCCATCACTTTACCACCCCCAGTCCTTTTYATTTTTTAATTTTGAAACAGGGTCTCAGGGCTGGGGTTGTGTCTCAGCTGTAGAGCGTTCACCCAGCACATGTGAGGCATTGGGTTCGATTCTCAGCACCACATATAAATAAATTAATTAAACAAAGGTATTGCRTCCATCTACAACTAAAAAAAATTTAATTAAAAAAAAAAAAAGAGGGCTGGGTTGTGGCTCAGTGGTAGAGTGCTTGCCCAGTACATGCTAGGCGCTGAGTTCAGCACCACATAAAAATAAATAAATAAAACAAAGGTATTGTGAACAACTAAAAATATTTTTTTTTAAAAAAATAGAGTCTTGCTGAGTTGCTGGGGCTGGATTTTGAACTTGTAATCCTCTTGCCTGAACCTAAATCAGGGATTATAAGCATGGGTCCCCACCAGGTTCCCACTACCTCCTTGGTATCCCTGACCTGGCTTTCCCCTTCATTGTGTACATTTTCTTTTACATCCTTCACACCACATTCCCAACACCCTCCTGCCTGTCCCAACATAACTTAATTTTTAAGGGCACAATATTTGGGTTGTGACCTTTTTAAAACCAGTGTATCATCAGATCAACACACACAAACTTTCTGGAGCTAAGAGGTAAAAACGCATTTTAAACAGCTTGTGCCATGAAGACATGTGAATGGTTTGAAACTGCAGACTTTTGCCCCAGGAATCATTATTGGCTGTTCTTTACCATCAAAATGTTGATTCTGCTTAGGGCCTTGAAACAAATGCTCCCTAAAACTGTCACTAGTCAGAGTTCACTGGGAAAAGATCTGTAACAGGGTGTATATATATATATATACATACATACACACACACACACACACACACCCCTACTTTAAGACCAAACCTCAGAATTCAACAGAATCAATCCCAAATTTAATTTGGGATTAAATTACCTGGCCAGGTGCAATGGTGCACACCTATAATCCCAGCAGCTCTGGAGGCACAGACAGGAGGATCACAAGTTCAAAGCCAGCCTCAGCAACTTGGTGAGGCCCTAAGCAACTTAGTGAGACCCTGTCTCAAAATTAAAAAAATAATTAAAAGAGCTGGGCATGTGGCTCAGTGGTTGAGCATCCCTGGGTTCAATCCCCCATAACAAAAATAAATAAATAAAAAGTGTCATGACCCACCATATAACTAAGATAAAACTTAATGCCATACCTAGTTATAGTCACTAAATCTCAGTCTAAGGTGAGCTTCAAATTTGTGCAATACCCTTTTATTTCTGATATGCCTTCTTAATTAGAAACAGAGGAATTCATGGGAATTTCTGCATAGACATACTATAGATATTTATAATTGCCTGCTTTTCTTTTCCTTACCCTAAAMTGTCTTTGAAGGTATGAACTTCTCTTTAACAAATAGTGTTAGGAAAACGGCATTTTTATATGTAAAAGCATGAGTTGTACCCTCAACTTATACCATACACAAAAATTACCTCAAAATGGATCTCAGAAATAGAACAATAAAACTCTCAGAAGAAAACATACAGAGAAAGCTTTGTGACACTGGATTTGATAATAATTTGTTCAATATGACACCAAAAGTACAACCAACAAGTAAAAGTAAGTAAATTGGGGCTGGGGTTGTAGCTTAGTGGTACACCACATGTCTCACACGCGAGAGGCCCTGGGTTCGATCCTCAGCACCACATAAAAACAAATTTAAAAAAAAAAAAGATATTGTGTCCATCTACAACTAAAAATAAAAATTAAAAAAATTAGTAAATTGGACTATATCAAAATTTTAAAACTCTAAAAAAAAACGTAAAACTTCTGTGCATCAGAGGATGCAAGTAATGGATTGCAAAGGCAACTTATGGGACAGGAGGACATCTGTACAAACCATATATCTGATAAGGGAAATATCCACATAGAAAGATTTTTTTTWAAATGTTAAAGAACTTGAACAGATATTAAATGACCAAGAAACAGATCAAAAAATATTCAACACCATAAAGCATTGGGGAAATGAAAACGAAAACCTCAAGTTATCACCCATGCCCAAGAGATGTCTACTGTCAAGTAAAGAGAAAACAATAAGTATTGGCAAAGACATGGAGAAACTGGGACTCTTCTGCACTGTTGGTGGGAAAACAAAATGGTACAGCTGCTTTGGAAAACAGGACAGAGATTCCCCAAAAACCAAAAACATATGATCCAGCAATTCTCTTCTAGATACCCAGAAGAAATGACAGTGGGGACTCAAAGACCTATTTGTACATCCATATTCATAGCAGCATTATTCACCACAACCAAAGGGTGGAAGAGACCCATATGCCCAGGGATGGATAAATGGATAAACAAAATGTAATATACAGGGGCTGGGGTTGTAACCCAGGAGCAGAGCATTTGTCTAGCAAATGTGAGGCACTGGGTTTGATCCTCAGCACCACATAAAAATCAGTAAATAAATAAAATAAAGATTTTTAAAAGAATGCTTTTTTTTAAAAAAAGGGGGGGGGTATACACTTACAATGGAATATTATTTGGCCTTAAAAAAAAAGGAAATCCTGACACATGCTATAACATGTGGACCTATACTAAGTGAAATGAGCCAGACACAGAAAGAGAAATACTATAAGAGGTATCTAGAATAGTTAAATTCATAGAGACCAGAGAGTTGAATGTCAGTTCTACTGATTTTACTGCCCCAAAGGTGTCAATCTTTAGGGATTTCTTACTTATACAATGCTAATTCCCAAGTCCTGGCTTCCATTCTAATTCTGACACAATAGATAGGAGCCAAGTAACCTGAATTTCCTTCTTTTTTTGGGGGGTGCTAGGAAATGAACCCAGGACCTTGCTCATACTAAGCATGCTCCCTACCACTAAAGCTATACCCCCAAACCTGTAATTTGAAATTTTTAATGTGAATTTTTAACAAGTACTCTCATTATACTTGGAGAAACACTGCAAAATACCCATCGGGGATCATTTAAAAGAGGCAAATTATAAAGCCTTAAAGGCATACGTCTAAGGGAGTTTCGCTCTCATCCTGTTTGGCCTGAGTAGCCCAGGAATCTTTCTACAACATTGGCAGAGAGAGAGACTGGACTGCCTGACTTTAATAAGAAAGAATATCAACATTTATGCACTCAAATAAGTATGCCTCTATAGACTACACAACATAATCACTTATTTTAATAACATTATCAGTGTTTAAAACTCTGGCTCACTCTTAGAACTAATTTTGGGTAGAGGGTGTACGCCCTCAAGTACTCACTCAAATTACAAAAAGAACCCTGGCTTCCCTGCGCTCCCTACTACCTTCTTGGTTCTGATCAAATCAGAGTGCCCCGTGCATCGCCCTACCTGTAAATGACTTGAGACTATTTCCAGGAAACCCCCTCACAGGGCTGAAAGATGCCTCCACAGAAAACAGGGTGCTTAAGAGGATGCTCCCAGAGAACCAAGAGGCACCTCCCAAAGAAATGTTTTCAAAATGCTTTGAGTAGAACGTCGAGGTCAGGCCCTCCAAAACACTGTTTTGAACATGATGATGTTCACTCAGATGTGAAAGTGCAAGCAGGATTCTTTTCAAGTATATCACTGAACATTCCAGACTCACGTTGGTGTGTAATCAAGGCAGGCGTACCCGTGACGGCTCCCTTCAAGAGCCCCCGGCTGGGTGCTGTCTGTTGACTTCCCTCTTCAGAGGAGTGTGGAAGACCTCCCCAACATCTGCTCTCACAGGAACCCACAGAAGGTGACTTTCAGAATCTACAGAAAGGAATAAAAAAGTCCCACGATCATTAATTAAATGAAAAGACCCAGTCCACGGTTCCCCATTTCCCTCTCCCCTCCCACTTTTCACTGCTTGTTGTGCATTGAGTCAATTCTCTCCACACCGCCTTTGCCTTCATCGTAAGAAATAAGTGAAAAGCAAATCTTTATTTACAAATCTGAATGCTAGCCAAAAATGAGAAAACCCTGCTGGGTAGGGGAAAGTAACATATTCTAACAGATGTCAAGTAATTATGCATTTCTCTCAGAAGAAAATAAAAAATGTGAAACTAAATGAATTCACATCCATGGATGGACAGCAYCACATGCAGAGGAGAATGACAATATAAAATAGCGAACAAGTGGCCACAATGACTTTATAAACTACTTTCCAAAAACAGGCAATGCTCCCAAAATATTCCCTGATACCTCTGACCTCTCTAGACACTGATGGTTGAAAATGTGGTTTTTGGCCACCCCAATGGCATTTGATTTGAGACAGGCACCTCACGTCATTGGGCCTAGCTGGCAAGCCCAGTTTCACAACACAAACCCACATCTTCATCCTCAGTGAACAACCAGAAAAACACGAGTTTGAGGAGAAGCAAGCTGGGAAATCACCCTGCCTGAGAGAAATGCAGTGAGCCAAAGCTAGAAGGGCCTAGGCCAGAAACAGGAACATCTAAAATACCTCACCCCAAAGGAGGTGCGAGAGGCAGAAGCTAACGTAAATGCGAAGCTAAATCACAAAGATTCACCATCACGATGGGTGGAAGCTAGAGAAAACTTCCAACAGCTAGAGGAGACTACACTACACCTATAGCATGCCACACTTACTTCTGAAAACTGGAATCCACTGAATGCCAGAGGGACGGTCAAGTAAGTTTGCCACTAGCACACAATTTACTTAATCACAATTCTGTCTGCTATGAATAAATTTTACAAGTTTATAAAAAAATGAGAAAATGTCATTTATAACAAAAAGAGGAAAGAAAAAGCAGAGTACAACAGGGTAATTACATATAATTACAACCATTTCTGCAAAAGCAAAACAAGATGTGATTTCTTTTGATAGAGTTATAAATATTAGGTGAAATATTGCCCCATCCTTTCTACAGGTTAAGGTGGGCAATACAAATCTGAGTCTTATAGAACAAATGAGCCATTCTGGATGGCATAATTTTTCTGCCCTGGTCCAATGAAGACAGTTCCACAGGAGTCACCAGAAGAAGTGGTGTGTGTGGCATGTGCACGTTTAACCTATAGATGGCTACAAAAGCATAGAATGTGATAAATTTGATTAGGACAAATGTCTCATGAAAGAGCAGAAGAGAATGGGGACACAATGTGACCTTCATCTTCCAAAGTGCACAGCAGTGGCACTGACTGGGCATGAGAAGAGTGGGGTGTGAAAAGGATGACCCCAATCAGCCTTCTTCACTGTCAGCGATCAATTGCTTATTAAACACCTGGAAACCAGCAAGAGCACCTCCTGATCAACTGTCTGGGCAATGAATTTCGAGAGGATTTGGAAGTAACAGAATTGTATTGCTTCCAGAACCCCACGAACAGTTCTATCACAGGTACTGGAAAGACACTGGTCTTCTGCCACCTCTTGGCAATTCCAGATCACTTCAGATGCCTCTTGGGTGATTTCAAGGCTTTCCTTGTTCTGTGACTCAGGACTTATGAAAGGACGCCCCTAATTCCAGAGAAGCACTTCTCCCATCTCCATGCCCATCCCCGTATACCCTCCTCTTGTGCTCCACATTGTCAGTCATCGCACACATGCACTTTTACTTGGGTCACAAGACATGGATGTGGATCACTGAGGGCTTTATCAGGTGCCGCTCAGATGTTACCGCCACAATCCCGCCAGCAGTGATGCTTCCCATCATCAAAGGAAGCCGGGTCCTTTCACAGTATTGTACAGAATGACATGGAAAGCAAGGTTAAACGGAATGCATGTAAGCTGAAGGGGCTTTCTTAAAACTCACTGGGTCTTGACAATTCTCTTGGTCACAATCTCATTTAAAAACAAAATATGTCACCTGCCAGAAATTGGGGGCAGTGGAGTTGAGGGGAGAGGGTGGCAGTTAACAGGTCAGTTACACTCAGCTGTCTCCCCAGGTAAGTGCTTGCCTTCTAATACAATGTAATAAAATCAGATTCAGATTCACAGTCCTTCTGTGTAATAACCATGTCACATCCCTAATTTCAACAGAGGAACAAAATTTAAAGCTCATTTCCAAACGGCATAAATTCAGAATTTAGACCTCAAGGGTGCCAAGTGCAGAAATCTGCTGAGGCAGAGAGTGCAAAAAGGCAAGAAAAAACCACCAAGTGAACTCTGTGGTGGGGGGGTACATGCTACCGTCCTCATCAGGGATTGCTCCCTATGTGGAGATTCACATGCAGGGGGTGCCAGCACAGGAGGTGTGGATATATCCATGGCACTGTGTTAACAAACCCAAGACATAATCAAGTGCTTTCCTGGAGGCTGATGAATAATCCAACCAACAAGAGGGAAGTGTCAGACCACTCAACAAGTTTTCAAATACATGAGGTGGACCAGCTAATTACTGAATAATTCCATTCTTTAAAAGGGCTGAACTGGCACAGGTGACACATCATATTCACATGTGGAAACCTGCGGAGAACAGAGCATTCTGCARAGGCTCAATCTCTGCTGACTCTGTTCAAGGACTCTATTAATTACTTAGAATCCTAACACGGCTGGACCCAACTGGATCACTGAAATCCAGACCCTAAATTCTACAGACGATAAAACTGAAGCACAGGGAGGATCAGTGATCCACGTCCAACCAAGCAGATGGAAAATGGTGAAGACATTCAGGGTTCAGGACGGCTCTGCAGCCTCAAGAATCAAGCTCCCATGCTGGAGGGCAAGGAGAGCAAGGAAGGCAAGAGGCAAGAGACAAGCAAGGGAGCGAGCACACCAGAAACCCCCCTACTTATTGGGGAGAAGCCATTCATAGAACATCCCACGCAAATAAGTCAAGGGGTCAGGTTCCAGGGGGTTGAGTCTAGCTTCCTGATGTCTTGTGGTCAGTAGACTGATTGACATCGTGGCAAGCCACGCCCATCTCAGGTCAGTGTGAGAATAAACAGCACACATGCGTCGCACAGCCCAAAGAGCATGCACGACAGGCCAGTCCTCCCATATGAGCAGAGCTCACACACAGCCCATGGACGGCTCGCAACACTTTATCATATGCTAAATACGATATTTGATAATACCAATCTTCCAACTATTGTAGCCTTACTATGTTAGGTTTTCATCTCTTTTTCAGAATTGTCCTATTTATTTTTTTCAAGTGAATACAAAATCAGCTTGTTTAGTCCCCCACAAATAACCTGTTGTTATTTTTTACTGGCTTTAAACCTACGGATTAATTTAGAGAGAACTGACATCTTTGTATCTAAGACTATGACAGCTCTTCTAATTTTTTCATGTATTGTTTGTGACCCTAAGGAACATTTTTAAATGGCTTCACACACAGCATGCATATTTCTTAAATTCTTAGATATTTTATCTTTTTATATGCTAATGGTCTTTTCTTGTATTAAACCTTCTAATCGCTCATTGTTAGTATATATAAAAGCTATGAATGTAGATACATTATTTGTTATCCATGCACATTTACAAGTTATCTTATTCTTATTAATTAGTTTTTCTCTTGATTCTCTTGGATATTCTAATTGCCTACTGCATTATTTGACAACAATCATCTCCTTTCTGATTTTTATGCCTTTATAATTTTGTTCTCTTTCCCAGATGCACTGACTTGTGATTCCGAAACACCATTAGTAGTGAAGAGTATGGATATCTCTATTTTTGTCCTGATTTAATGGCAGTGTTCTCAAACTTCCTCTTAAGCTTGAGATGGTTTGGGGATTGAGATGAAAGTACCTTACTTTGCTAGGATATATTCCTAGTACATTTTGAGGGTTTTTTTAAAAAAAAATCAATAATAGACATTGAGTTTTCTCAAATGCCTTTTATATTAAAGTGGTTGTTTTTTTCTACTTATATTTAATAAAATGATGAATATCATTAGTAAATTTCACACTATTGAATCTTCTTGCATTCTAAAATATCAGCCTCAGCTGTCATGGTGTTTTATTCTTTTAATGTGTGCCAAGTACGTATTAAACATGATATCTGGCTCAATTTGCTAGGCAGCCCTACAAGGTGGGTGCTCTCCCCTGCCCGCTCTGCCCTTCGCTCCAGCCATTGCATCCCCTCACTGTTCCGGTCTTGCTTTCACCTCCAAGAATGTTCAGGGCCTACAATGCATGCCATTCCCTGAGTCCTACATCCTCAGACATCCCCATTCATCCCTTTTCTCTGTCTCTGCCTCACATGTGACCTAACTACAGAGACCTTTCCTGTCGACCTCAAATAAAACAGAAACTGCCCTCCATCTGGTCACTCTCAGCCCTGACCCTGTTTTTGCTTGTAGCACCTGTCACCACCTGACATAAATTCACAGATGGAATGAATGTGCAATATTTAATTTCTATTCCATTTAACCCAAAGAATGTAAGCTCCATGAGAGGAGAGATTTGAGAGGAGAGATTCTGCCTGCCTTACTCATCAGGGGATTCTCAATACCAACAACAGGCCTGGATCATGGAAAGTACTTAATATTTGTTAAATGGATAAATGGGAGGGGGGGAATGAATGAATGAATACCCATCTTATACACAAGAAAACTGAAGCTTAAAGAGATGACATAAAATCTCAGTGGCAGAGCCAAAATAAGAACTCCAGTCTAACTTTCAATTCCTCACCCTTAACCATCAAAACAAATGACAGGCAATTTTAGGTCACAAAAAAAGCTCAAATAATCTTCTGAACAGTAAAGCACAAGTAAATGACACCACTGTATGGAAGTCAAAGGAAAACTGTGTAGACAGTCTTTGCACAAAGTGAGTGAAAAATTCAGAAGACAGTTTGTAAGGAATTCCTT